TTTAGTATGTGTATAAGGCGACTTGAAGATTCTACACTTTCCTACCCTCAGGTCTAATAAGTCCAGGGCCGAGGGAGTCCAGGGTCCAGAGTCTGGGGCTAGGGTGGCCAAGAACCAGCAGTAGACATTTTGCCTTCAAGACTTGAATAACATGTAATATAGCAGGACTTGAGAACCTGGCCTCTGAACCTATGAACCTGATACCTAGACCTAGACCTAGACTCCTAAGTCCTAGACCTAGACACCTAGAAATAATCAAAGTGTTGGAGGCAACCCGCATCCCAGCACAAGTTGCATCGTGAGCTCTGGACTCATGAACCAGACAGACTTCTGTTCCTACAAACCAGTCGACCGGGAACTACAGCCAATAACTTAACTTAACTACATCACTGCGTCAGGAAAAGTCTTAGAATTTGTTGAAATCCATCTGGAACATGGGAGCCACATCACATGAATGCTGCATCCCCGTAACAGTAACAGTTACGCAGTAGCAGTAACAAAACCTGGCAGGTTGAAGCACACAGTTTTCCAAGTGAAACTTTGTGCTCGCTGCACAGCATCCGAACCATGCGACAAGGCTTGCAACCAACCCGGCTGGTCAGTAGGAATACAATTGAAGCTTAAGGTGTAAAGCGTAAGCAGTGTAAGCTTTGGGGGCATAAATTTGACTGACCAGGGCTGGGCAAAAGCAACTTCCATGTGCACAGGTCACCGTATGGCTTCAGGTTCTTCTGGCTCCCCTGGTCTGAGCGCTCTCTCATAACCAAGGAACTGCTCTCCATGAGGCATTTCGCGCAACTCTCGCCTGGCCTCTTGCCTGCTCTCCAAATCAGGTTTGCACGATATGTTTTTCGTGGCGATAAAATCTCAATTTGCCAAGGTGGGGGATCTCGAGTTCATCCCTCCAAAAATCTGCCCGACGCTCATGAAACTCACGATTGCCATGGCGCGCACGGTCTGCTGGAGCACTTGGCTCTGCATCTGCAGCATGCGCGTCTGCAGCTGCAGCTCCAACTACATCTGGCACTGCTCTGACAGAAGGACGTGGCACTCCCTCCGCAGCAGATGATGGACGGGCAGAGTCAATGGCTGCAACATCCAGATCGCTGTCAGGATCAAGAAACAACCTTCCCAAAGCCGCATCATCAATGATGTCTTCCGCATCAGGATTTGCAGCATGCTCTTCTTCAGCATCAGTTTGCTCTCCCAAGCTAGGCTCATACTGGGATGATGCCTCCGAACCGGCCAGCGCCTCCAAATACCATGCATGAAGACCACCATCAGGCACAACACCCAGCAAGTCTTCTTGCACTTCCTCCTCTGAGGGAGGACCATCGCCCGCATCACTCTCAACATAAAGGTTGCCAGCAGGGGCAATCCCTGGTTGAACCAAATTCTCATGGCCCTCATTCTCCAGCATGTTCTCAGTGGCATCAGCGGCAGCAGCATCAACCTCCTCGTGAGCCTTTTTGCGCCGCTTGTGATCAGACGAAGAAGCTTTGGCCCCGGCCTTGGAAGCTGCTGCGCGTTTGGGCACACGGCCAGACGCAGGCTGAGAGCTGTCACCAGCTCGCTTGCGAGAACGTTTAGCTTGCAGTCTGGCATTCTTCACATTCAGCAGACGCATCCATGAGAGGAACGATGCAAGAAGACCGATCATGCTGCTGCCAGTGGCGGTCATCCAAGGAAATGTAGAACACACGCACCTGCCAAGCATGCTGCAAATCCAGACATTCATGCACAAACTTGATGTCAGTGAAAAAACCATGGTGCTCACCAGCTTGCTCTGCATCCATCAGCGTCACTTGTGTCACATTGTCCATCTGCGGCACTGCATCCACTGGAATACCAAGCACATGCTCCAAGTCATCAAACAGTCTCAACGCCGTAAAGTGAAAGTTGCTGAAATTCATGTAAGCCGGGTAGGCATATCGTGGGGGCGCAGGGCTAGACTCCAAGTCCGATGCATCATCAGCAGCTGCATCATCCTTTGCACGCTCCTTGCTCCACGCAGGAGCCGAGAAGAACCCAAACACAAGTCTCTGTTCCTTGGCCATGAGGCGGGCTTTAGGAAAGTCTGCCTTCTTCTTCTTTGCAAAAACAGCTCTCAGCCATGGTTCCATGTGCTTCCAAAACAGCCCAACATCAGGGGCCGAGCCAGCTGACCTGATGGCAAAGTGCAGATCTGAAGCGCTGCCTGACATCAGCTGCCAAAATAGGACGCTGCTCAGCATGTACATGAACACGGCATCGCTCTGACCAGCTTTTGGATGTTCGGGCAGTCAGACCCACCTTCCTCCGCACAGAAAGCGTTTCCTCGCACAGCATTGCCTGCCAGGGTATATACAGGCACTGTAAGCCGCCCTCTCAACCTACAATGGCTTAGAAATGGGGCCAGTACGTGCAATCATTGATATTCCGAAATACATATTGATGCTGCAAGAAAGACAGGCACTATACAATTGGCTTTGAATGTGGAATCTAGTGAATCTAGCGGTTCAAGGGGGCTTTGCTCTATCATATGGCTAGAATCGGCTAGAACACCAGGGGCTATAGGACTAGGATAGCTAGCAGCTAGCATTAGGGACTAGGATCACCACCGCCTGAAACAAAAACCATGTGAACCACACACTCAACGTTGCTACAACCCAACAATGATTTTCATGATCCCACAGGGCCAGTTCGAACACTGTTTCCCAAGTTCAGCGTGGACCTCTGGGCCCCTTAGGCCTTAGGCCCTAGGCTTAGCGGCTTAGCGGGCTTAGCCGCCCTATTTGGGTCCTACTCTGCTGACTCAAATAGAAACCTTTCAGGCATTGCCTCACATGTAATAAAACTAGAATCTGCTGCACACTGGACACATGGCTTCCACTCAAGCTTGAAGTTTGTGCCTGTTTTTTGGCGCATAGAGAGAAGGACAACCACAGCTCAAGCTCAAGTAAATCAGGCCATCCTGTGGTACACGTCTATCTATTACACTGGTCTACACTTCACTTCACTACACCTGCTACAGCACTTATATACTTCTGGAAATGGGCTTGGCCCATGAATGAGCCTTCATTGCCTTCATATGACTTGCATCAATTCTGACAATGCTTTTGTAGGCCATTGTAGCTGCAGCCATTGTAAGCCCAATGCAGACTGTGGGAGACGAAGCATATCAAACATCCATCATACACACAAGGCCCTGTAACAACCCATAGCTGCAGCTACAGTACAGCAGCTACAGCTACCAGCTACACTGCTACACTACACTGCTACACAGCTTGTGTGAGTTACAATATTCAATAGTGACTAGTGATTAGTTACTACAGCATTGCTTCACAGGGCCCAACTTCCTGACTGGCCGACTGGCCCAACTGAACTAACAAACCCAGAGCTACACTACATCGCTATGTACATGAACAATGCAGTTGATCCTGGAGACCTAACCCAGCCGACTTGACTTAATGATTTAATGTAACCAACATAATATTTGTCGGACCATTTGCCTTTGCCCCAACTGTAGCCGTAGCCATAGCCATATCTTTAGCCGACTTTAGCCGCCCTACCCTTACCCATAGACAGTAAACTTAGCTGACGTAGCCAGCCTGAGCTGTTGCTGCTTTAATTTTCTTATGACACTCTGTGAACCCAATCTGAATCCAAACCAACATTCTCCTAGCGGTTCTCCCGTTCGATGGCTCAACATCAAGTGAACAATAACTTCTGTAAACTGTAAACCTACTCGGTAAACTACATACCCAGATATGTTGCTGTTGCTGCACCGGCCCAGCAGACCTACTAACTACTAGAAGTTTTACCTTATAAGAACACAAAACCCAGGCACTAAAGTCATGAAATACCTCCTGCCCTTGATTTGTCCCAGGACAAGCCCTAGAAATCTACCCAAGAACCCAAGAACCCATCAACTTCCAGAGTATGCATCCCCGCAGGTCTATGAAATCCACAGTATATGATCTATGGGAGACTCTTGACTCTGGAACCAGCTATGCCAGCTAAGCCCCAAGCCTGTTCAGGAACCAACATAGGCACAATGACATAGCACCTAGATGGTACAGTACTTGATCCCCCACAACCCTTAATGAATCGAATGACCTGGTCATATTGTTTCCTGCTCCTACATTACATGGCCCCACACTCACAGTGGACTCACAGGTCCACACCAACATCTTGGAACCCATCAATCCTATCTCTAAAGTATCTAAAACTACACCACACCCAACTTTGCAAAACGAATAAGAAGAAGATTGCCATCTCACCAACAAAACAAACCAAATGAAAGGTTACAGTTACAGCTACAGTTTAGCTTAAGATAAAGCACATGTGGTGAGGCTAGGTCCGGCTAGGTAAGCTCAGGTCAACTGGGAACTGCTGTGATGATGCACTGATTCATTGTAACTGTAGCTGTGTAGCTCATGGAATGTGGAATCCTATGGAGCTCAAGAACAGGCTGAACTTGCCAAAGTTGAGATTCGATTAGATGCGGCTGCACTCTGCTTGCGCTTTCAAATCTCAAGTGGTGACCCTTGCCTTGCCCTTGGACTTTAGCATTACCATACCCTTGGTTCGTCACTGGCCACCATAGTGGCCATAGCGCTTGGTTAGTGATTGGCGATTTATGATTATGCTCCTTGGGGGAGAATGCAGGGCTGGGGGAGATGCACGTCACCCAGCAAAATACCCAAAACCCTCCTCTACATCCTACACCCCAGACACCATAAGCCCTAGGTGCCAAACCCTAAACTTTCGAAACTAATTAAAGCCTATCACGTAAAAAACACCCTCAAGCGCAACCCAAACGCCCTAAACTAACCTTACCTTGAGAGTTAAACTGTAAGACTGTAAGAATGGAAGCCCACAACCCTACACCCTGAACTTGGAAGTAAATGCCCTAAACCTCAAACCCCAAATCTTAGCCTCGACGGCTTTCTCAGCAGGAGGGTTCCATGTAGCGCCTCGCACCAGGCTTGAAATCGGATAAGCCTCAAGATTCTTTCTCAGCTGTGATTGGCCACTGTCCTGCCACTGTTTTGCAACTGGGATCTCAGGCACCTCAACCTGTTGGCAGAAGGCTTCCAACTGCACCTCTTCAGCTTCATCAAGCTCCAAGGCAGGTCCGGAAAACACGCGCGAAGGTGTTCAGTCACCTGTCCACCCACATCAGCAACCAATGCATCATCCAATGGTTCTGCATCTTGTGCGACAATGGCTCCACCTAGTGCTTCGTCCCCTGCAAGCAGCATGGGAGCTGCAGAGCTAGGCCCAGCCAACATACCCTGATTCCACGGAAGCTGCTTTTTGTTCCGGCGCTTCTTGTCTGCAGAAGTTGCAAAGGCAGGGAATCCCATTTTGCGTGCGGCAGATGCTGCTTGTCCAGAATCATTATATTTTCGCCTGTCTTCATCTGACAGGTCTTTGAACATTTGGCTCAATCGAGAACGAAGCTCAGCTGATGGGCGCTGTCCAGCTGCATGCACATGCACAAAAGCATTCCACGCTGAAATAGAAGCTTGTCTCTTTTTCTTGCGCTGGCCTGACTTTTGAGTGTCAGACGCTCCAGTTCCTCCAGGCTTCTTCCTTGACGTGTGACCTCCAGCATGCGTTTGTTTGTTCCGAAGGAGGACAAAGCGGGAAGAGACTTCTTCGAGGCTGCTCACCCAACCCCGGGCCCGTAGATTCGCAAACTCTCTCGTGCTTGAGTGCGCTGACTCAATACTTGCAACATCTAACGCAATGATAGACGCCAAACACTGAAGGAGCCCCCTGCACTCAGACCCAAGGAGATCTGTTTTGTCAGGATATTTCTTGGACCACCCAGCCCAGAACTCGTCATGAAGGCAAGGGGGAAGCTTTGCCAACCGCTCTGCATGCTGCTTCAGCTCGTCCTCACTAATGTCCTGAGCTGCCAAGTGGAACGCCTGGTAAGGCATTGCACCACGTGCCCTTCGCAGCAAAGCATGCATTGCACACATTCCAGAGACAACCATGCCAAGCTTCAAGGCTCGGTGAACACATGTGAAGGTGTCTGTGTGAACTCTTCTGGGGCTGTCAAAGATGATCTGCAGCAACTGGGTCATTGCTTGGCAAAGATCCTCCCCACGAGCAGCTTCAAGGATGAGAAAGGTGCGGGGCTTACCAAGAGCTTGCTGGGCAGCCTGCTTGCGTTCCCATTGGCCCCCACTGAAAGCCAGGACCTTTGTCATGAAAGCATGCAAGGGCCCTATTGCCTGGCGGGCAATGTAGAGGCGGTTGTATGGATCAGATGCAGCGTACGTCTGCGCAGACTGCCGGCGCAAGCGCTTCATCTCCTTCCACATATCCTGAGCAGCTGAGCAGAAAAACAAAAAGACTGAGCAGGAGGGGTGGGGGTGATGGTTGCAGGAATGGAGGACGATCAGATTAGCTTGCTTGCGTAAGATGCATCATATGGCAAGCCCGAGGGGCTCAGGATTTCTGGGTCCAGCTTTTTGTGAGGCAATGGATCCTAGCGAAAATCCTTATGGAATTCCCACATCAGCCCATATATTACATTACCAAGCGCACTTATATTCACCCCTGAACCTGCAGCCGTGAACCTTAAGCCAAAACCCCGAGTTATAAACCTTCCTCACAAACCTAGCCTAGCCTAAACTATGACCTAAACCCTAAATAAGGTTAAGACAGTCTTGAGTCATGGGATTTGCTGCAGGAGATCTGTCTTTCTTCATGAAGCACGTTAAAACAAACCTTGCTCTCCCCTTCCCACTTCATTGTTATCACCATAAAAGTCACTACTGGATAACTGGATGAGCAGCCAGCCATTACGCCACTACACCCTATGCCCTTGCTCCCAGTACATTGTGTCATCAACACAGCATCACTAACAGTCATTAACACTACATCACTACATACAATGACAACAACGTCACAAGAACTTGCACCAACCAACTTCTCTCCATGCTGTTGGTCTGGCAATTGCTTGATATGTATTCGATTCTTTGGACTTTAGGTACACTAGGAAGCAAAACAAGTTACTGAACACAATTTAGTGGCCTCTTGCGACTCAAGGTTTGGCTGCGCAGGCGCGTTCTCCTCTGCAACAGTGCAAGGTTCTGACTGGGCTGGTGCTGCCTTGGCCTGCTCACTCTGCACCAGCTCATCAAGCAAAGCGTCTTGCCACATGTCAAACTCATCACCCACTGGATCACTTTGAACAGCGGGAGCATGTTGTTGCTGGTCAGGATTTTGCTGATTGGAGTCAGCGGCGCTGGGCACCACGGCTTTGGGGGAACCCAAATGAAGCATCATCAATCGGCTGAACAATCCATGGTGGGACTCCAGAACACCCACCCAATCCATGTTGGATGTTTGGTTCAGCCAATTCTTTCTTGACATCGCTGGGCACTGAAAAGGAACCAAAGCCCATGTAACGTATAGAGCGCATGTGGTCATGGTTTGCTGACGACTGTTGTTGCAGCACAGAGCACCAGGAGGACAGTAGTGTTGAAGCGGTTTGCGCTGGATCTTGCCATTCAACATTGTCTGAAGAACCATTCTGCGCTTCCTGTTGAGATTTGCAGTCCTTCCTTCAAGGGGCAGGAAACACGCAAATACCTCTTCTCTGTAGCTCGCGGTGTCCATATCATCAGGCGGCTGCTGCGACTCGACGATGTCCATCTCTCTGAAGAACAACGCCGTCAGCAAGTCTCGAAGCCGCTTCAGGACACCCAGCTCACTCAACGCTAGGGCTGTGTTCAGCAGGCCACTGACATCAGCCTCGCACTGAGCCAAAGAGGATTTGATGCTGGTTGCAGCCCTGCGCGCATCACAAGCCAGGTGCAGCAACAAAAAGTCTTCCATGTACCCAGGACTCTGCAGGCCATCCTCAGTCCTATAATTGGCAGCGTAGCGGTCTGTAGTGGCTGCCCTGACCTTGATTGGAAACTCAGACGAGATCCTGCGCCACTCCGGCAAAGTGTCCAAGGTCTCCATGACACAGGCTCGCTGGTTCTCGGCTGTTGTCCGATCCATCGCAGTCAAAGAGCACGGTATGGATGTTGACAGGCAAGTCAACTTCGGCACACCGCCAGACTTCCCAGCTGATGCTGATGATGCTGCTGCTGCTGCTGAGGGCGATGTTGATGATGATGATCCACCAGTTGCGCAGCAAACGCTGTACACCATCATGATGTCCACTTGGGTCTGAAGCACCTTTGCGTGCGTCACATTTTCAGCTGGAGTCGTCACACCCATGGACGAAAGGAATCTCCCAATGTTCTGAGAGCCCTGGCAACCAGATGGTAGGATAATATGCCCAGCTGGCGCTGAAACAGCTCCAGCTCCATCTGATGCCCCAATCTCCTGAGATTACGTTTTGGTTGGGTTGAGTCAGGCCCAGCGAGGCTAGCAAATTACTTTGGACAGGTTAACCAGTTAGGTTCACCGATACAACGAGGTGGCTGTGTTATGGCTATGTCACGGGCTGTGGGTTTTGTTGGGCTCTGGGAGCCTGGATCTTAAATGAACCGTTGGGCCACCTGGGTTCAAGTGACAGTGCAATTCGCAAGTTGCAGTTCGTGCGCATGAACAGCTGGCAGCTGGAAGTGCAAGTGTAACATGCTTGCTTAAGTTTAAGTCTGCACGCAAGTTTCATGGAGGCCTATATAGGGCCCATGGTGTACACGTTGCAGACTGATCAACACAGAGTCAACCATTAACAGTCAGTCAACCCTGGACCGGACAGGGCTTCCCTTTCCACCTCGAAAGAAGAAACTATCCCACAATATTCACTGAAGGCACGGGCGCTAAACTTGCAATGAGTGACAATGTCGCCTAAGTTGCCGCTTCTGTCGCAGAACCTGACCTAAACAAACCTAACAAATAAAACCAAGCTTCAGCACAGGAATGATTGGAACATGACCACACAAGTAGCTGAGTAGCTGACCCCTCTCAACATAACAACTGCAAACACAGCAGTTACAGCTGCTCCAATGACTTGATCTAATTGCACTGAATCCAGACCCAGGATGTAAGCCCTTCAGCCCTAAGCCTTATGCCTTAACCCCTAGGCCTAGGCCACATAAGTGGCCTGAGCCTGAACCTGAAGCCAACCAAGACCTATGGCACTACACCCTAAGGTTTAGACTGACCTGAAGAACATGACCAGGAGAGACACCACTGATCCAAGCTCCCCCAAATACAACTCCAACAGCAGCACCCACAGGGATTTGTGGGACCAGTGCTCTTCCCTTGCGGTGTACTAGGTTGAACTAGTGACCAGTAACCTTGTGGCTTTAAGGTTGAAGAGTTTAAGGTTTAGGGAGTTCAAGGTACAGGGTAGTTACCGGGTAGTTGTGTAAGAATCCAAGTGACAGCACAGTCACAGCTCAAAGTCGAGGGGCTGTGTTGGTGGCACTCCCCACATTTACCACACGCACTTTGCTAGGAGTTTCATCGTACCGAACGCGCCAGCAAAACATCAGGGGCTTCATCTGAAGGATGCGCTGAGGGGTTTGCTTGCAAATCTCAATGAAGGATGACAGGGCACAACTGCAGAGTAAGGCTGAGCTCTCCAAGGCCAAAGCACCTGCAGAGACCATGATGCGTTGCAAAGTAGACTTGCTCTGGTGTTTGGCCTCTGTGCCCTTGTTCATTGCAGCTAAAGCGGTGGCACTGCATGTTAGCGCCCGACCCTGCACAATATAGGCCAATGAACCTTGCCGGTCTGTCTCTCCAAGACCCTCTTGAAGCAAGACCTGATTATCCTTGGTGCGGGTCAGCAGCTCGATTGAACTCCTGAGCGCCCCTGAAACCACACGCTGGAAAGCACTCCCCACATTCAGGATGAACTTCGCAGGCCCAAACAAGTCAATCAAGCGCTTGCCTTGCTCACGATGCTGGTGTAAGTATGCCACCTGACTCCTCACATCAGGGGCTTCCTCGGCAGGTGCATCATCCTCACCTTCCGCACTGGCTGCAGCAAGAGCCTGCAACTCCTGTCGTATGAATTTACTGCCAGTGGACCCTTTCGGTCTACCACGCTTCTTCTTTGGCGCAGCTTCAACGCTAGCAGGTCTATCCGCAACATCTTCATCACAGTCATCTGCCCAACTCGCAAAAGCTGCTTCAAAATCATCTGCACTGTCCATCTCCAGTGGCTAGTGGCGAAACCAGTTAACTGGTCTTCTGTCCTCGAAATCAATGAGCTCACGCTGTGCACCAGTATCCCGATCTGACAAAACACTGTGACCCACATAGCGCGCAGGACTGCTTTTGCGGTGGACTCTAAAACTGACTGATTGACTGATTGAGACCATGTTACTCAAAGGGTCAGAGTGTGTCGTATCAATCCAACCCTCAGGACTATTGACTGTAGTGACTATAGGTCCAATAGGTCAAATGCGTGGCATAGGGGCATAGCTCACAAACGCTACGCACATGGATGACGCTCATCAGGTTTGTGTTCTGCAGGAGCTGCGCAAAGTTGATGGCTTAGACTTAGACTCTGAACCATCCCCAATAATTTCACTACAGGTGTTTACACTGCAATCCCACCACGACTCATGGAATCCTGCAACCTGTGGGCCATGTGTATGCATCAACAGCAAAGTCCATCTGAAGTCAAAGGTGAAGCCTGAGCATAGAGGGGCCTCTGGAATGGGAATACTTGACTAGTTTAATGATTGCATTGTTAGAGAGCCATGAACAAAAATACTCTGCTGGGACAGCTATGAACATGGGCCTTATGGGCTGTGGCTATGCAGCTACACTGCTACCACTGCTACCATGCTGCCACACAGCTACATTGGCCACGTATTTTGCAACGCGAACTGCCGTTCACCTTATGCACTCAATGTCGGGCCCAATGTCCAATGATTGGAGTCCAATGTGACACCAAAGTTCACTAAAGGGTTCTGACACGCATACTCTCTCCATAACAGTCACTGTAACACAAATCCTGGAATCATCAAGCACACATGTGTCCCAGCTGAATCACCTTGTCTTCCTGCCCATTCATCCTCTACTGCCATGACCATGACAATGACTGACTGACTACAATGAGTGATGACTAGTGACTAGTGACTAGCGGGGACTACATTGACTACATCACAATCCACCACACAGCTCTAGGACTCTTGGATTCTAGGCCCTTGTCACTCGGGTCACTCGGGACTTACTTACTCTGTCTATACGACCCCAGGAAGCCAATGCATCGGTCAAAGGGGGCGCACCGCGGTCTGGAGATGTTGAGCCAGAGCTTGGAGTCAAGCTGGAACTTGGCCACGAAGTACCCACTGCCCAAGTTTGCTTGTCCAAGCAACTCAAGGAACCTGCAAGCAAGGCAGGTAGCAGCTAGCAGCTAGAGTGTGGGTCTGGTAGGACTGATTCAGGTGGTTTGATGATGAAGTGAAGATTGTTTACAAGTGGGTCTGATAACCGTAATCGTAACCATGCATGTGGTCTGGAGTCTAGCCCCTAAAATTTGACACAGCTTATCACTAGAAACTTCTTGCGGTGGCTCCATGGATGAACTGGGGTCTAGCGTTTAACGGTTGAACAGGGTAACAAAAAGGTGGCAAACAGGATGAGTCAATGAGAGTCTTGTTGGGCGCATGACATCGCGCACGGTATTATTAGATTATTAGATACTACTAGCTACTAGTTACTAGTGACTAGTGACTTTCAATTTCATGTGGAAGGGTTCATGGCTTGATGGAACAAATAGCCTGGAGTTGTGCATGGCAACAGTGGCACCAGAAGCAGTGGAACTAAACTGAATCATACTTAACCTAGAATCATCTGTCTGAATGACTTCATGCCTCAAGGATTCATACATTTGGCCCTGTGAAACAACCCGATTTACTTCTGACCCAACAAGCACCCGTCCAGCAATGCTGCCCAAAAACAGTACAGGCAACACATGCTGTTGAGGATCCAAGGCCAAGCTGAAGAAGTAGATTCATTTTGCAGCATAGCACAAAGCCAACAATTATTGGATAGCGCTTGCGATTGTATGGGGGTCAAACACTGGAGCCACTAGAAACCCAAAAGAACTCTCCACCTGCCTAAAAATCCAAACGTGCCCAGGCAACCCACCCTCATCCTCATGTGATTCATCCTCATGGGGAGCAGGGTGGCAACAATACTGAGGGGCGGCACATAGACTAAAGCATAATTCCACACTAACGCCAAAGCTTCCTTTCTAGATTCTAGATATTGGATATAGCTAGTATAGCCGTGGGTCCTCACTAAGGTTTTGAAGCTTCAGGGCTAGGTTTGGCTACATGACTATTTGGCTGCACTGCTACACTGTGATAAGAAACGATGTCAGGGCCAAACAATCCTATAACAATGAACACTGAAATTGCACCACCATGTTTGTGGCTTGAGGCTAGCATGAATATCATTGGTAGGTTGGAAGATACTGCAAGCCATTCTTGACTGTATAAATCTATTTCGTCTGCTACTGCCCAACGTATGGCACCGAGTCAAAAGCTGTTCAAGGCTGGAGGCAAGACCAACTTGTGGTAACTGTACCAGCATTTGCCGGTAGTCCGGTAGTCATACACATTGTCTACAACAAGTGCTATGGCTTGAAAAACTAGACTCTGGGCTGACCTTCAAGGGCTTAGGACCTAGGTCATGCATCATTAATCATTACCCTTTAGACCCTCATGTGGCAATGTCACCAAAGAAACGTGGCCCGCGCCTGTCGCATGGTGTCACCTGACCATCCTTTTCAAAGGGCATCAAGAAGCCCATGACTTGTTCCATGACGCCAATGGCCGGAGCATATTTCTCGTACATTTGAATAACAGATTGCATTGTCACCTTGAAGTCACAATGTTCCTTGACGTTTCCTGCTCTGAAACGTTTGCATCGCTGCACGCTAAACGGGTCGCAGGGCGACCCTGTGATCATCAAATCGACATGTTTTGGGGGCTGATGCTCTGCAAGCTGCTCTTCAACGGAACGGAACACATGATCAAACTTGCCCTCACCCATGTTCAAGAGGAAAAAATCACGGTAGCCAGCATTGGTCTCCGACGCAGCAAGCATGTGGTAGTTGATTCCCAGCGCCTGCAGAACCATGCACTGACATCACTCGATACTACACTGGGCAAGTTTTCTGAATTTTGTGATGCTCCTCATGATCTTTTGGTTTGGGCTTATACTCTGAAGTCACTCTAGTCATTAGTCGTCACCCATGATGCATGGCAACTTTGGTAACTGCAACGGCAATGGAAGTGGTACAGGGTTGAAGGAGTACTCAGTAAAGAAAAAATTACCAGTTGTACTGAGCTCATTGTACGATCCGTCACTAGCCCATCCAACCTGCTTCTGCTGCTGCGGCGGTGGCGGTGGTGGGGGGGTGGTGGTGGTGGTGGTGGAGGGGTGGTGGTGGCAGTGGTGCTGGTGCTCTTGCTGGTGTTGGTGGTGATCCTGGGGTAGCAGTGGTGACGCTGGTGGTGGGTGGTGGTGCTGGTGAGTGGTGGTGGAGGTGGTGGTAATGGTGGTGGCGGTGGTGGTGGTGATGGTGTGCCGTTATTGCCTACGCCTTTCGGTGGCCTAAGCACCCCTAAAGACCCCTATGCCCTATGCTTATAACCCTATGCCTATGCCTTTAGGCGCCAAAATCCCCTAAAGGCCCCTAATCATGAATCCATTAGGCTGCAGGCGGTGAGCTGTAATGTAAGAACTTCGGACTTTGAGTCTTCGAGTTGACTATCCATGTACAACTTCTGGCTCATGGGAACAGGAATCAAAATCCGTGAACAGTAGAGCAGTTGCAGGGAGTCAAGCTGGCCTGGCCTAGCCCTAGGTATTTATCCAAACTAGAAGAATAGGCCAGATGTGAATGGATTTGGCTAAATAAGTATTTACTTTCGTGAGTTGCAACTGTTCCTCCCTTGTCAGGCCAGGCCTTCAGAGCGAAGCCTTCTGCGCAACAGCCAGTGCACCCACTCACAGTCTGCAGGTTGAGCGATGGCAAGTGCTCGAAACAAGAAGCTGGACACACCTTCTTTGCTGCTTGTCGCAACACCACAGCCCACCAAGTTGTACTTGGAGGTGGAGCTTGCACATCAGACTGACTCGGAACTACAATGCTTTTTGGGGGTGCATTGTACACAGTGGCCCGCCCACTATCTCCTTCGCCTTCACCATCTGTGCTAGGAGTTCGACAGATCTCTGCATCGGAAATTTCTTGTGACAATTTCTGAAGGCTACACAACTCATCATCCAAAGCTGCAGCCCAGGGCAAATCAGCGGTGTCTGACTCAGCCATGGCTTGTCTTGCACCGGAAAAAACTACAACAGTCGCACTGACTCCTGTTTGTATGTGAAAGTCCAGGTGTTGCACGTAGCAACTTGGCATGTTGTGTAGCTGCGCTAGGTCTCAGCTTGGTGCCCCAAGCAAACATTAAAACAACATTCTCAGGGCAATTTTCAAGCCAGAAACTTCTGAACCATACCCTGCCCTACCGGGTCCTACTGAATGCTGTTCACCACTGATGCTGCCAAAATGTTCCCAGCTAAGAAATATCTTTGTCCCTTGTGGCCCTTGTTGCATGCGCTGAGATGTCCAGCCAACAGCCACCGAGCACAGATTGAGGTCTGATGTCCAAAATTTGGGCCAAATGTGGCCTTCAATGAGCGAATACATTTGCTTGCCATGAATTTGCAAACAACAATGGGTCACCAGCACAGGCAAGTCTTCTGCAAGGAAGCAAAGTTTCAGCTGCAAAGAATTGCAGCAAAAGTGAATCGCAGTCCCCAAGAACAATTTTTGGACGCAAAATTAAGATGCAAAAAAAAAAAAAGCATTCCGAACCACCAGCAACATTCCAGGT